TTCTTCGGTGTGGTAATGGTATGAGGTTTATGTAGGAGAATATCCTTATCTTTAGGTCATTCATGAGAGAGATGGACAAAGTAAATGGGGCAAAATATTATTGAATTGAAATGAAAGATACATAGGCATTGATTTCACTGTTCAACTTTTTTTTGGTTTGAACATTTTCATGGTAAAAGTTAGAAAATCCAAACAAAATTAAACACGAAAACAAAACAATTTTTATCTTTATTATCTGTTTTTCAGTTTTTGGTTTTAACTTGAGTATTATTATTTATATTATTATCTGTTTTTCTGTATTTTTGTTGTATCTTTTTAGTTCTTATTTTATATTTTTATTGTTTAGTCCTTTAGAAAATTGATGTGTTTACTATATTATAAAACCAGGTAATACCCCTCTGGTCCTGGATGTTGGTTGGGAAAAGGAGCAGCCAGTATATATTGGCCAAGATGGTGAGACTGAAGTTGCAGAGCATGTGTTCTCCTGGTCATCTGCCTAACCCCCTTATCAGATCCCTCACAGCTTCCCTGTTGGTTCCCCCAAAAAACTTACATTAACCTTAAACTCATCGTCCTCTCATAAATTATGCGAAACCGAAAATGGAGAGATTTGCCCTTCTCCATCTTGCCATTGAAATTTTCATGAAAACAACAACAATAACAGAAATGCCAAGTGCAATGGCAGATCTCCAGGAGGCATTTCTAATGGCCCAGGATGGGGCGTGGCCCTGAGGCAAGAAGACAACCGGAGATCCCTTCTTTCCACCCCTGCTGCAGAGGGGAATGGAGCTTAGTGCTTACCCCTAGGCCTAGCTATGGCTTGCCAAAGAGAACACAAAGCCACAGGCAGAACATAGTGCAATTTCTTAAAGTGTGAGTAGATTTGAGGGAAGTTACTTTTTTATTAAAATAAACATGGGTATATTTTGGAATAGCATGCAAAATAGAGATGCCAAAGGAATTTCATGCTTATTGAAGGCTGTTTTGAGACATCCTCTAAGACTCCCAGGAGTATAAGTGGAAGAGTTTGTGAATCTCTGTATTATTATGATTTGTTATGGGTTGGTTTGGTTAAAAGAGGTTTTATAGGGGGAATGTTTTTGTGGGCCAATATCGACTATATATATATATATATATATATATATATATATATATAGAGAGAGAGAGAGAGAGAGAGAGAGAGAGAGAGAGAATAGACAACTTTTTCTTCTTTGAATAGTAACCTATCGACCATTTGTAGGTTGAAGTCCTATCCCTCAATACCTCAGAATATGACTATATTTAGAGATAGGGCCTTTAAAAAAATAATGAAGGGAAAATGAGGTCATATGATGGGCCCTAATCCAATATGACTGAAGCCCTTACAGGAAGAGGAGATCAGGACACAGATATGCACACATAAAGGAAAGGCCACATGATGATGTGGAGAAGTTGATCATCTGCAAGCCAAGGAGAGAGGCTCAGAGAAAGCCAGTCAACACCTTGATCTTGGACTTCCAGCCTCCAGAATTGTGAGAAAATACATTTCTGTGGTTTAAGTCACCCAATTGTGATACTTTGTTAAGGGCAGCCCCAATAAACTGATATACCGCTAGAATGCTGCTTATCAATTTTGTTATTCTGTTAATTCGTTTCATTTAGTTTCCATCACAGTTTTCTTCTGTCTCACTCACTGAGATCCTGACTTTTGACTTCCTGATCAGAAATGGAAATGATGGGGTTGGGCAGCAGGTGTTGGAAATGTAAATGCCTTAGGGACCAGGCCTGTGGATGTGAGAATCCAGGATGTAGGATAAACAGGCGTGGTGATTGCTGTGACAATGAAGGGTTCGTTCCCACTTAAGGACATTCAGATTCCAATGCTTTAAAGCCCTGTGCCAGCCCACACGAATACATAAGTTCTTACGTGGACTGTCTGGCTATTGTGATCCCTGCTCCAGTACAACCTGGGCTTCATCCCCATATTTCTTTGATTTATTACAAGAAGTCCATAAACCCAGGTGCCTTGTCTGCAGACTGTATAATGCCACTCACATACTCACCTCTTAGTAAATTGCAAACTCACTTGCTAAACTCAAATCCATTTCAGAACCTTATTTATCTGATACTTTCTTCATCATGATGATGCATGGGGTTTATCCAGATTTAAAAAAAACATTTACTTTTTGAATTATAAAAGTCATGCATACTTATATGTTTATTGTGAAAAGATACATTTCTTTTCCTCCTGTGGATCTTCCCCTCGAAATTCCCCTCGAAATTCCAGTTCTAATTCTACTCCTTGTGTGAATCCCATGCCTATTCATTTTTCTGGGCCCCTCACAGCAGCTTCGGATCCTCCACCTAAAAGAATTGAAAGGGAAGATGTGACCCCATCGCAGATATTTGAAGTGGTTACTCACCAGCCCTGTATATACATATTAAAATTCTCTGAGTTGTTATAGCAGCTGTTGCAACTGAAAATAATTCAGCAAACAGGATCATTTTCTGTGTAGTTTATGGGCTCGGGAACAGTCCAGAAGCTTTGGAATTTGAGTTACCGTCAGCTCGCTGCTCAGCCAATCTCCACTTGTCACAGGCTGGTAATTTGATCTACAGCTCCCTTGAAGTGAGTTTGTACTGAACACAGAAAGCTCTTTTTCCCCCTTTTTGCCAAATGCTAAATGGCCTTTTATGTGTGTCTTTTTTCCCCTTACAGAATCACGATTTGATTCAACAAAAATATTACACACCTTCTTCCTGAGGGGTTTGTATCCTTTTCTTGGACTCGCAGCTACACATTTTGGGCAGCAACTTCCCTCGTTCCCTAGGCAGCTGCCTGCGCGTGGTCCTCAGGAGAGCCTAGGCCTGGAAGAGACCGCCTTGGGTTTAGCTGGGCCTAAGAAAACACAGGCGGGGCAGTGAGAAAAAGATTATCTTCCAGTGCCCATTCCTTTCAAGACTCAGGAAATCTGCTTCTTTTCAGTGCTCTTATCATTGCTGTGAAGTTTTGATTTTTCCAGTCTCCAGTGGTGGTTCGAAAGGAGCTTAGCGCAGAAGCTGAAAGGGCCTCCTGCATTTAGAGAGCAGAAGCCCCACCTGCTCTCTCTGGGGCACCTCCCAGTGGCCAGGCCCAGGGGGGTGTGTCTGATGATGGAGACAGTTGGAGCCACTTCAGCACTGGAAGCTGGCGCCGAGTTTATTCCATTTGCTGATATTTAGATTGTGGCGGGGAGGGCAGAATGCCTGATGATGCCATCAGTTCACCACTATGCAACAGGTAGCCTGCTTTCCAGCTACTTTGCATGATATCCAGACTTTCTGGCATCCAGGCTTGGTGGCTCATAGAGCTTGAGGCAGCGCCGCTCTGTAGCTTCCATTTTTTTTAGTGATTCCTTAACTGTTGGTGGATCTACCTAAGGTCATAGTGGCCACGATGATATGCTATTTTGGGTTACTGAAAACTGAAACCCGTTTTTCAATGAAGACAGTTTGTCTAATAGTTTAGTAACCTTTATACCAGTAATATCAGGAGTCCTGTCTGTCTTCAGCCAGTGGTACTATTAAAGAAAGATGAAAGATTGGTTTTCAGAGTCATCAGAAGTTCTGATGACACTTTAAAATAAAAATTATTCCCCCAAAGACATCTAAATTTATTTGATCTAAGCTTTGGGATGCCTAAAGTCATTGTGGTTGATATTATATCTGTTTATGGCTGACAAAAATGATTATAAGTATATAGAATCTCATGTTGGGGATCTTGCTGTCCATCCGGGAGACTATCTGCAGAAAATCCCAATGGCTGCAATTCACTTTTCATTTTTCAGAATAGGCATTGATTATGAAGGAGGCATCAAAAAAATGGATCAACAAAAATAACCAAATATTTAATTATGGCTTTAACTTTATGGTTATTTCAATAGGAGTGTGTGAGAGGCATTAACTAGTTTCTGATTCTGGGAACAGATTAGATATTGGCCTTGCACTCAGCTCCATAGAATGATGTCCCCAGAAGGCCTTGGGACAGTGTGCCTGGACACTGATGTCTGAGGAGTATGCTTCCCTGAGCTTTCCACGGGCCAGTCTTAGAGGTCAAACTCCAAGATCCTGGCCTTGACATGTCTTTACCAAAAGGGGAAGGATAGATTGGAGGTTTCTCCAAAGACTCACTGGAATTTGAGAATAAAATATTTAATAGGTTGAAAAGCCTTTACAAGGGGGAACTCTGGTCTCCCTGTGGAAGATGACCAAATATAGTCAAAATATTCCCATTTCTGGTGGATCAATCAATCCTTAAATATTTCTAGAATGACTTCTACGGTCAAAATCTGGATGCAGATTTTCTAATGAGCAGTTTGCAGAAAGAACCCACCTGCATCAAATGGCAAAGACAGAACCACATGCAAGAGTGAACCACATAGCCCTTGCTTAGCAACGTGCCTGTTTGTAGCTCACTGGGGGATGGAGTGCCTCCAATCCAGACTCTACACTATGAAATTAGGTAATTCAATGACAATAATAATTTTAGCTGCAATTTAAGGGACGTTTACAGCTTTGAAACAGGAAATGGAAAACAATAAGTAAGCAACTATAAAATAAATTGAGCACATAGCTTTCTATTACATTTTATACCCAGTGGTACAGAGAGTTTACTTAAGGAAATGACAAGGCTTATTTAGAGGACCAGCAACTTCTGGAGTCTTTTATTGAAATGGAAATGGGAGCAATGTTGGATAGTCTTAAGGCTCAGCTTTTTGGTTTTTTAAAATTTCTTTATAAATCCCAATTGGGAAGCTTTGATATGTATTTAAAAGGATTTAAAGGCATTTTTCTTTTAACATTTACATGCCATGTTATAATAAGATGACTCTTTGCTGTGAATTTGAATCTGAGTATTAATGTTGGCTGTATTTTATTGAGTGATTATAGTGAGCCAGGCTCTGTATTAAGTACTTAGAATGCCTGAGCTTATTTAATTTATTTAACATTATGATGTAGGTATTATTATCACCATTTTACAGATGAGAAAACTGAGGATAAGAAAAAGTATGCAGCTTGTCTAGAATATGGCTGCTGGCAAATGTTGTACAGAAGCTCAGATCTGCCCATTCCCAGAGCCTGAGGTCTTAATCTGTTCTGCTGACTTAAATTCTGTATCGTGAGTTTTACAACCTGAAGCTTGGGAACTCCTGTGAATCCCTGGAGTGATGTTTAAAGAATACTTCAGTGAGCTGTACACACTACAACTCCCATATTGTCTTGTAGTTTTAAAAAATAGTTTCTTTACAATAAATGCAAGGGGGTCTCTGAACAATATGCACAGGTCTCCAAACTGGCAGAATTTACCAGGGACTATATTTCTAGCATTTGGATTTTAATAGAGAGCAAAATTGGGATGACCACACCCTTCCTTGGGCTCAAGGACTTTAAAAATGTCCCGGCTGCTCAGAAGTTGGAGAGCTCTGCATTTCAGCATTGGTGGTGTGTGTTGTCTGAATGAAATGGGTTAAGGGTAGTGGGATGATAAGAGGATTTATAGCCTAAAGAAGGTCAAGGAATCCCAGTGGCTCACCTGACTTAAAGTCTCATTTTCTCAACTTTAAATGAAAGTGATATGTTACCTATATAATCTGAGTGTTTTTAAACACATTAAATTAGACAATGTGAATAAAGTTTATGAGTTATTGTTTTGGAGGTATTTAATGTCTTCTCCCCTCCTTGACAGTGGGCTAATATTTTACCGTCCTGTTTCTAAGGCTCTGTTAAAGTTACTTTTCTGAGTGTGCTCTATCCATCAGGATCATGGCAGGAAACAGATGGTGCACCCATGCTGGGAAGAGTTTAATAAAGGAACTGTTTACAAAAGTGTGCACAGGATTTAGGAAAAGCAACAAGGGAGGTTGCAGAATGCCAGTAGAGGGCCATTACCAACAATAAGCCAGAAGGGTAGAAGGAAAGGAGTGTTTATCAGCATCGAGAGAAGTTTTTGAGAGGGCTGACTGATAGCAACTGTGGCCTTCGGTGGAACAATGCAATCAACCCACAGACACCTACCAGGGAGAGATCTTGGGGAAAAAATATCCTGACCTTACTTTCCTCCCTCCCTTTAATCTCCTGCAGGTATTCTCTGCTGGTTGAATGCAAATGGAAGCCAGAGAGAAAGGGAATCCTTGATGCAGTTTTCGTATAGACTGGCTTCCAGGGCAGACAGCAGGTGAAGAGTGGAGAGTGGGGCTGGGGGACAAACAGCAGGTATGGAGCACAGCATGTGGCTCTCCGCATATTTACTAACAACCTTCATCACTCTTGCCAGATTGGACTGAGAATCAACTCAACCCATAATTATGCTGTCGTGGTGCCTCTACCTCCTTTTCTGTTTTCTCTATTTCCAGAGACTTTCATTCTCCACTTCCAACTTGTCTTGTGTTCTTTTGCTCCTCTAAGTCTTCTTATTGTGGAAAAATGAACACAAAAAAATTAACTCACACACTTAAATGTCTTATGCCTAATTGTTACTTTAAAATATGCATACTTATTTTCAATCCTGGGATGGCTAAATTGCAACCAGACTGACCACAGATGAACAATACAAAGAACAACTATCTGAAGGCACCAGAAAATGAATCACTATAAGCAGATTAGGGGGAATAGTTGGCACATGTATGAAAGGATGAGACAGGGTGTGTCTTCCCCTGTTTGTGGTTTTTAGCTTAAGAGCAGGCCATAGGTAATGCTCATAGTCTTTCTGGCCTGATGAACTAGAAGAAAGAGTTGAGAGCAGCCAGAGCCAGAAGAAAGTGAGAGAAAACCTCTGAAAGAAGGGTGCCAGAGAGGGGAGCCCCAAATCCCATGCATCAGGTACCCACCTTTCTGGCTGAGGCCCAAACTTTGTGTGCATGTGGCACACTGCAAGCAGCTCAGTAAAGGGTCAGTGACCTTACTGAGATATGAGCCATTGCCCAAAAGACAGAGTTTGGAGTTTTACTAAAACAAAAATATCACACTTGTCAGGAGAAATATAATAGAAATGCAGACTCTCCCCAACAAAACATTCCCAATGTCCAGGAAACCATCCAGAATTACCCAACATACAAAGGTCAGGAGTCAGATCCCTGACCCCTCCTGAAGAGAAAACATAATCAAAGAAGATCAATCTTGAGATGACCTAGATACTGGAATTAGCAGATGTAGATTTTAAAACAACTATTATTACAGTAATTAAGGAAACATTTATATTTTAAGTGCTTGTATTAGAAAAGAACAAAAGTCTAAATCAATGACCTAATACTACCTTAAAAAGCTAAAAAGATTAGAATAAATTAAATCCCAACACAGTAAAAGAGTAGAACTAATTAAGGTAAGAACAGATATCAACAAAATAGAAAACAACATTAGAGGAACTATGCTGGTTAGCAGGGATGCAGTTGAAGTATAAAGACACAGATAGGAGTAAAGGGGATTCTTGAAAAGATCAAGAAAATCGATAGAACCATAGCTAGACTGATCAAGAGAAAAAGAACACAAATAATATCAGAAATGCAAAAGAAGATATAACTACAGATCATGCAGACATATAATAAGACAATACATTGGCTACCCTTTTTGCCTGCTGATTCCTGGACACTAGGAGTCCAACATGCCTTGTCAACAATCATAACTTCTAGCTCAATGGGACGCTTGCTGTGTCCTCTGGCAAAAATTTGCCCTTCAAGGTGAAACCTGCAGAACCCAGAATTATGGGGGCAGGAAGGACAAGAGTCCCCCAGTGGGTGACTGTGAATGATGACAAGTGTGATCCTTCCTATTTTCACCCCTTGGTTACATGTTCAGAACACTGGAATGTGTTCGGAGCTTTTTAGGTGTAAAGATTTGGGTACAGGAACACTGTCATTGAGAGCAGTCCTCCAAAATTCCTTCCATAAATACTGAGCCGTCTCCATCACCATGGTCTGCTTTTCATATTTTTTTTCACCCTGCCCATGTGACACTCCTCAAAGCAGACCCTTTGCTTGACCAGCTTATCTGTTTGTTCCCTACCACTTCCGGAAGAGAAAAATGGAGTGGAGTTGGGGAAAGAACCTAGTTCTTTCTGCAGGAGACATAGTTAATGCTTATGCTGTGCCGTTTTATATGCCCCAGTCTCCCTAGCGGTTAGTTTGGGGTCATGTGATTTGTTCTGGCCAATGGGTGTGAGCAGATCTTCTGAGTTGAGGCAGTGAAGAGCCAGTGTGGTTCTTCCATGGCTCTTGTTTTCAGGTATGGCAACCTTGGAGGGCATGTGTTCCAGATGGTGTGGCTGTGAGTTTTAGGAGCACTGCCCAACAAACAGCAGCTCTATGTCCTGTCAAATTGACCTTTATCCAGCTAATCCTTGGAGATTCCTGCTTGGTAGTTGTGGTAGTAAGTGCTAATTACCTTGATTAATAAATCTATTCTCTATACACCCTCCAGTCAATAAAAAATTCAGAACCCTGATGAGAAATGTTTTTACAGTTGGTCAACTAAGAGTTCATTGTAGGTTGCTATGCACTTAGCATTTTGCTGTGTGTTTTGCCATCAGTGCCCACTCCAAGTTGAGTGGAGCCCCCTTCCGTGTGGGTTATGGACTCCCTTGTATCAGCACATGAATAGAGGTTAAGAAGCATCACAAGCCAGCTTTGTTTAGTTCTTACCTGGACATGGACAAGGTTACAGGGTACCCATATATGCAGAGGGTAGTCAGAGCTACATATATAAGCTCCTTTCCTGGCTAAATTTCTGTTAGTTGGTCCCATTCCTACAACTGGAACATCACCTGTTAATTTCTTAATGTCTGCACACACAACAGCTTGTCACTGTGTAGTCTCTGTGTATCCAGGAGCATTACAACTGCTTCCACAGCACCACCTCATTGGCTATCTGAGTCTTGGGGTTAATTCCTGAACAATTAGTGCTGCTGTGGTCATTTTTTTTTTTTAGCCTCACTCTTATCAGATTGTATGCCTCTTGCTTTGAACCTATACTTTCTTGTCTCATCCTTATGACTTCTCTATTTCCATCTTCATCCTTTTATTAAATAAAACTTACTAACTCTGCAATCAGTCCAGCAGCATTGTGCAATAGGCACAAATGTTAGGTACCTTACACGTGCAATTTTGTACCCAATTTTGGAAGCAGAAATGTTAGTGACCTGCTACTTTTTGATATAATCTGTAGAGAGAAATAATATTGATATAAAAGAAGTTTTTAAAAATAATATCAGTATCTGTATATTGTGAATCAGCAGTACCCAACCTTTTTGGCATAAAGGACTGGTTTTGTGGAAGACAATTTTTTCACAGACAGGAGCAGTGGGGGGATGGTTTCAGGATGATTCAAGCACATTATGTTCATTTTGTACTTTATATTATTATTACATTATAATATGTAATGAAATAATATTACAACTCACCATAATGTAGAATCAGTGGGAACCCTGAGCTTGTTTTCCCACAACTAGACGGTCCCATATGGGGGTGATGGGAGACAGTGACAGATCATCAGGCATTAGCTTCTCATAAGGAGCATGCAATCTAGATTCCTCCCATGTGCAGTTCACAATAGGCGATGTACTCTTACGAGGCTCTAATGCCGCTGCTGATCTGACAGGAGGTGGAGCTCAGGAAGTAAAGTGAGCCGTGGGGAGCAGCTGTAACTACGATGAGGCTTCCCTTGCTCACTCCCCACTCACTTCCTGCTGTGCTACCTGGTTCCTAACAGGCTGTAGACCAGTACTGGTCCACATGGCCCAGGGGCTGGGGATCCCTGTTGTAAACTACTTAACATTGCTAAAAAAAAAAAAAAATTGGGGAAAATATTAAAAAATGGAATGATATCCTTAATTCTTGGAATGAAAGAATCAATATTGTTAATTGTCCCCAAATTGATGTATAAATTCAAAGCATTTCCAATGAAAATCCCAGAAGGCTGTTTTGTTTTTTGGTAGAAGTTGATAAAGTGATTCTACAATTTATATGGAAATGCAAAGGATTTAGAATAGCAAAGATAATTTTGAAAAAGAACAAGGCTGGGGGACTCATACTACTTAATTTTGAGACATAAAACCGTTGTAATCAAGGTAGTGTGGTAAGGGTATCAAGATGGACAATGTGTAAGTAGATATAATGGAAACATAAGTCTTATGTGTCTGGTCAATTGACTTTTATAAAGGTTTAAAGGCTCTTCAATAGAGAAAGCACAGCCTTCTTAACAATTGATCATCCATTTGTAAAAACAGGGGAAAAAAAAAAACAGAACTCCTTTGATTCAAACCTTACAACATATCCAAATCCCAAAGAGATCATAGGCCTACTTTCAAAATCTAAAAATATAAAATTTCTAGAAGGAAAGAGAAGAGTATCTTTGTGACATGGTATTAGGGGAAAATTCCATAAATCCCATACCAAAAGAATAAACCATAAAAGAAAAAAAGTATATAAATTGGGCTTCATTCAAATTTGCAAGAAACTGTTAAGAAAATGAAGAGTAGCTACCTATTGGAAGAAAATATTTTCAAATCACATATCTAATAAGAGACTTGCATACAGGCTATATACAAAGAATTCCTGTAACACAGTAATAAGAGAACAAATAAACCAGTAAAATTGGACAAAATATTTGAACATGTACTGTACCAGAAAGAACATGTGGGGAGCAGATAAATGCATTAAAAGTGCTCAATATTATTATTCCTTAAGGGCAGATTAGAACCACGCTGAGATAGCACTACTCATCTGTTAGAATAAAGACTGACCATGGCAAGTCAAGGGTGGGAAGCAACTGGAACCCTTATATACTGCTGACAGATGTGTAAAATGGTACAATCATTCTAGAAAATAGCTAGTTTCTTTAAAAGCTAAACATATAGATAGAAAATAACCCAGTCGTTTTACAGGTATTTACTGAAGAGCAATCAAAGTATATGTTTATATAAGACTTGAACATGATTATTCATAGAAGCTTTGTTGTAATACTAAAAAATGAGAAATAACCTAAATGCCCATAAATGTCCATCAGTAAATGAATGGATAAACAAACTATGGTATAGCTATACAATGGGATACTAATTCATGAAAATAAATGAACTATTGACACATGAAATGAGTGAAATTAATGTAATTATACTGATAGAAGCAGAAAGAAAATGACGTACTGTATAATTCTGTTTATACACAAATCCAGACAATTCAGACATTTATAGTGACAGAAAGCAGATAAGTAGTTGCCTGGGGACAGGGAGAGTGGGGAGTAATAGAAGAAAAGAATTTCAAAGGGGCTAGAAAAACGTCTTGGGATGATGATATGTTCATAATATTGGCTGTGGTGACAGTTTCACAGGTATGGGGATATGTATAATGTTGAACTTATCAGATTGTACATTTTAAGTATAAGTACATTATTTTGTATCATTTACACCTCAATAAAGATACTGAATACCAAGTAAATAGGAGATATTTAATGAGGGGCAGGTGATGATGGGGTAAAGCTGAGAGGTTTGACTTATCCCAGGTTGGTTACATAGGAGGCAAGAAGCAGAAGCCAGATTTGAGTAAAGGCAGTCAAACTCCAGAACCCACACTTTTAATCCTGTAAATACATGCTAACAGGTGGGGCACTGACTCAGGTGCTAATAAGAAAGTTGTCTAGACAGTGCCCACGTTTTCTGAGCATTTCATTCTCTGAGCCATGTGAAACTATTGAAGACCAACATGTTTGGGCAGCTTTCTGAGAGTGCCTCTTATGATTACTCCTGGCAATCATCTCAGTGCTCATCAGACCTATTTCTTCTTCCTGGGCACAGAGTCAAACCATTTCCCAGCCTTCTTGTATCTGGTGAGGTCATGTGACCAGTCCTTGCCAATGTAATGTGAATAAAAGCAGTGTGTCATTTCTAGGTCAAGGCAGGTAAGAGTGGGTGGGCTTTCTCCTTTCTCTGCTTTCCCTTTCCACTTCTGCTGGTTTGTGTTTAAATGAAGGAACCACAACATGGGAGAAGCCTGGTTCCTGAAAGACCACCTGGAGCAGAGCCCCTATTGCTGACCTGTGCAAAACCATACTTTATGTGTTAAGTCACTGAGATTGTTTATTAAAGCAAGCAACATGCCATTGCCAATATGCTACTCTTATGCCAATATGTTACTCTTAAGAAATATTACCTTTGCTGAAACATTCCATCTCTAGGAATTTCTAAAATATGGGTCAAATACGTAGACTGACTCTTTTGTTAGGAGATGGACCACAGAGTTTTGGAGTGGAAGTTTAAGTAATAGAGAATAATATATAATTAGCAGGAGATAATATGTGAATGGCACATGGAATAAGTGTTTCAATATTTATTTATTTATTTTGGAGTAGAAGATTAAGTAATAGGAAATAATATATAATTAGTAGGAGATCATATGTGAATGGCACATGGAATAAGCGTTCAATATTTATTTATATATTTATTTATTTTGAGACAGAGTCTTGCTCTGCTGCCCAGGCTGAAGTGCAATGGTGTGATCTTGGCTGACCGCAACCTCCGCTTCCTAGGTCCCAGCAATTCTCCTGCCTCAGCCTCCTGAGTAGCTGGGATTACAGGCATACACCACCACACCCAGCTAATTTTTGTATTTTTAGTAGAGACGGGATTTCACTATGTTGTTCAAGCTGGTCTTGAACTCCTGACCTGGTGATCCACCTGCCTTGGCCTCCCAAAGTGTTTCAATATGTAAATTCCTTCCAAGTCGTGCTATTCAAATATCCTTCATCTCACTCCTGGAGCCTGAGTGGTGACCAGTGTTCTTCACTCCATTTCCCTGTTGGCCTTTTCTCTGTGTGTGTCCTGTTTCTTGGGGCTTCAGTTGTGGGCATCAGCTCTCAGCTTTCCAAGATCCACAAGAAACCACATCACCTCTGGCATCTCAGATGTATAATTATCTCTTTGGATTGTTTTAAAACCTACCACTCACATCTCAAAAACCTATTCAATGGGACAGGTTGCTACCATCTGTTTTTCAACTGCCATTTTTTTTTATTTCTTGCTCTTTGGAGGGTTTGTCTTCTCATGATTTTATTAACTTCCCCATGTGTGATGTCTTCTTTCATATTATACCCTGTATACTATGACAATTCATGGTCTGCAGACAGTGCTCTGGTTCCTGGCCCACAGCTGGGTTGCAATTCCATCAGCCTCCTGGCACTAGAGTCTTCTATTGGGTTTCTGGGGTTCCAAATGAGAGAAAAAGAACACTCACCACCCTGGCTTGAGGACCATCTGTGACAGCCTGAACACATAGCATGAATTTGATGTTTTTCCCTCTTTTCCCTCTTTTCTAGTTCTGTATTGGAACAACAACATCAAAAAGGCCCGAGACAGTTGCCTTTGTATTACTTGAGTTCAAGAGGTTTGGCGAGAACAGCTGTTGACAACACCGGTTGGAGAGGACCTCGTGTCATTGTCATGGAGGGGGGCTTGATTTTAGGCATCTGGTTCTGAGCACCTGCTCTTTTTTTTTTTTTTTTTTTTTGTTTTTTGTTTTGTTTTTTTTTGAGACTGAGTTTCGCTCTTGTTACCCAGGCTGGAGTGCAATGGCGCGATCTCGGCTCACCGCAACCTCCGCCTCCTGGGTTCAGGCAATTCTCCTGCCTCAGCCTCCTGAGTAGCTGGGATTATAGGCACACGCCACCATGCCCAGCTAATTTTTTGTATTTTTAGTAGAGACGGGGTTTCACCATGTTGACCAGGTTGGTCTCGATCTCTCAACCTCGTGATCCACCCGCCTCGGCCTCCCAAAGTGCTGGAATTACAGGCTTGAGCCACCGCGCCCGGCCAAGCACCTGCTCTTTTGGCAGAAGTTAATCGATCACGCAGCACAGCACTTCAGAGGCTGTCCAGAGGGGAATCTGATCCTAAAGCCCTATGCTCTCATTTTACTGATGAGGAAACTAAACCCTAGAGTCAAATTGAGAGTTCCTCAGAGATAGTCAACAGACTGAAGCCAGTCTGAGACCCACTTACTCCTGGTTGTTGGAATATAGAAAGTGAGAGTAAGTTTTTCAAAACTTTCGTAGCAATTTAACAGAGAAATTTTAAGTCATCTAGGCCTATATTTCATGTCTTTAAAAGTCCAGCTATGTTGTCATTTGTTTTATTTTTTATAATAAACTTTATTTTGGGAACAGTTTTACAGAAACATTCAGAAGATAGTACAGAGAGTTCTCACATACTCTGAACTATCTTGCAGATAGTATAAGAGAGTAAAATTAATATGTTACATTAGTTACAGTTAGTTAACCAATAGTGATATGATTCATTGATATTCATAATTTATTCAGATATTCTTCGGTTTTAACCCGATATCCTTTTCCTCTTTCAGAATCCTATCCAGTGATACCATATTACCACCAATCATCACGTCTCTTCGTGGTTGTGACAGTTTCTCAGACTTTTCTTGGTTTCCATGACTTTGAAAGATTTGAGGATTATTGCGCAGGTTTGTAGGATGTCCTTCAACTGGGATTCGTTTTTCTCATGCTTAAACTGGGCTTATGGATTTGTGGGAGGAAGACCAGAGAGCTGAAGTGCTATTTTCACCACATCCTATCAAGGCTACATACTATAAACATGATCTACCACTGTTGTTGATGTTGACCTTGATCGTCTGGCAAATGGCAGTCTTTGCCGGTTTTCTTTCGTATACAGTTATTTTTCTCCCTGTTCCCATTTTCATACTGTGCTCTTTTGAAGGAAGTTGCTCTGTGTAGGCCACACTTAAGGAGTGTGGCGTTGTAATTTATTTTAGTGTACTTGGCAAAAAATTGGTTTGTGATATATTGAAAATGAAAACTGTCCCCTGACATTGCTTGTTTGAGAAGCACTGCTCTAAAAACCCTGCGTAAGGGCACACAGAAGAAACACTGGGACAGAGCCCAAGGCATCTTGGCTTCCCTCCCAGGTCCTGTCATTCCCCAGAGCCTAACTTGTGCATCCATCTAACTGTGGGGCCAATTTGGCTGGCTCTGTAACACCGCAGACTACCCCTTCACTTTCCGTGAATCTTAAGGAGTGCTTCTAGTCTTGGTGGACGTTTCTGGAATACTAGTTTCCTTGAACCTTGACGTATTCACTTGTTAGAGTTACTGTTTTAGGTCAAGTTCAATGGCAAATAGGTTCTGAGATGGAGATTTGTACATAGAAAATTCTTTTGGAGACTGATGGGAGAACGATGGGGCAGAAGGAGAAGTCAAACATCAATTCCGTCCAGAGAAAAGCCCTGCCAACCTTATGGGGAGTTTTAGACTTGGGATGGCTGTACAAAGTTGATCTGAATTTAAGCAGAAAGATCAGCTTTGATTGCCTCCCCCCACCTTGCCAACCTCACCCAACACATACACATTGACCAGGTATTGGATTGGATACTGTCTGTCTTTAGGAGACAGGTGTCATTGGGGAAGGTGGCCCCCTTAGTCTGTGGACATAACTTAAAAGGAACTCAGCTAAGCTACCAGCAGTCAACAATCCTGGCAGCTGGGGGATGAATACTTAGGATCCGGTGACAGATCTAAATGGTGCCCTGGAGCACTTGCCACAGATATGATTTCTGTTTCAACGATTTTGCCCTTGTGTTGTGTCTAGATTCCAGGACCCAGGAGGTTGTTTGCTGTACTCTCCCTTGTACAGTTAGCTGTCTCTAGTGCTTGAATGCGCTAATTGTCCTTTGGGTATGGATGAGGTAATGAAGGAAAGGGATGCTGGGAAGAGAGGCCACATGAGAAGGTTAGTGTGGGCGTAACACACAATGCAGAGGATTTGTATTTGTGCCATCTGCCGGCTTCTATGATTCATCTGGGTCTGTGCACCCTTGTAATCAGCAGGCTGCAGCAAACTAAGTGTTGCTTGCTAAAGAAAAATTAAAGCTGGAACTTCAGCAAGGAGGAAAGTATATGCCTCACCGTGCTGAATGCAAACAAACACACAGCATCAGAGAAGCCACATAGCATGAAGCTCTGAGAAGACTGTTAAAGTTTCCCCCTGAAGCCCCAGGGGAAAAAGGTGTAAGTAACAGAATTATTTCAGTTGGTCAAGAATTCATCTTTCCTATCAGTTGTCTCTGTCTCTCATGGGAGTTCAGACTTGCCGTGTCCCACCCATTTTGATGGAGAGTGAAAACAAGGACATTTTAATTTAAGGGCAGAAGATGGAATTTGAGAGCAGAACAAATTTGGCAAATGCAAATTCTTATCCAAAAACCATGCTTCCTGTACTTGGTGCCTTGTTTCCCTGATTCTGCCTATGTGGACCTCTCTTTTTCTCATTGCAGTTTGAATTCAGGCATGCGTCTTTCCTCTTGGCTTCACCATGCATAAGAGGATACTTGGCATGAGTGAGCTCATCCTAGCTGATAGGAAAATCTTATAATTAGGCAGAAAACTCAAAAGAAGTGAAGCCCTTTTCCCTCCATTAGCATCTTTTGCTAACTGCCCTAGGAGTTGGTGCCTACCGTTTGGATTATATGTAGCTGTGGGGCAGGAAAGGGTTAAAGGATTTAGAAAGAATTGAAATAAAAATGAAAACATTTTTCCCTGTTAAGATAGCAGAAGTTCAAATGTGAATCACTATTTCTGCATGACAATCATGGCCCTATAATAATAGCTGACATTGTCGAGTGCTTAGTGCTGGGCACGGCACTAAGCACTTTATAGGCGTTATCTCATTTTATGTTCATCATGACTCAATAATGTGGATATTATTACAACCCCTCAAGACAGATGATGAAGTTAAGACTTGGAGAGGTTAGGCAAGTTGCCTAAGTGTGGAGATGAAATTCAAATCTAGGTACCAATGTTTTTGAATCACCCCTGTACTGCCTCAGTAGCTATGGGATGGGGACGGGGAGTGCTCTGAGTGGGAAAACAGGAAATGTCCTCACTTTGGCCTCCTATGGAAAAGCCCTTCTGAAAACCATCCTACCGTAGGTTTCCGTCTTGTAGCTCAGACCATTTTCTTTTATGCTAAAAAGAGAGACCAAAGGGACAGTTGAAATCTGAACCTCAAGTCAGAACCTTAAGATTGAATTTGGGAACACTGTTATTGACTCAGAGTCTGTGGCATGATGGTGATGACTGAGACCATAGCTTTGGATAAGATTGTTCAAAGAGGAAATGTGCAAAGAGGAGGTCAAAGAGCTCAGGCTGGATTTTTGGAAGCCAACATTTAAGGGACCTGTAGAGGACAGTAAGCCCATAGAAAGGTCTAGAAAGAAGAGTTAGCCTTTCTGTGATCATCCAGGAGAGGGAGGTGTGTGGCTATCCAGAGGCAATGAGGCAAAACTGTCAGGTTGGATGACATCTTGTTCTAAGACAGGGAAGATGGAAGGAAAGATCAGAAGAAAGGCAGAAATATTAGAAAGTGGAGAGGAGGCAGAGTTAGGGACATCCACGCCAGTGTCTGTATAATCTTAAGAAAGTAGAATGTTCTTTTCGTTGGAGTTTTCATGCTCAATTCCTTTCTTCCTCAAGTATCCCATTAATTGCTAACCCCTGCCCCAGGTGGCACTTAAGTAGGAACAGCTCAACCCAAGAGTAATCCAGCTGTTGACCTGACAAAATCATGTTTGCTTGACAGAGAGAGAGAGGTGTGTCTGTGCCTCTGCTGGGAAGCTGGTGATAGAGAGCTCGGTTGCACCGCTGCCAGCTCTCGTGTGGCCCCGTTGACAGGGTTTTCAACCTCAGATGAACTTCTCTGAACTTCCTTGGAAAACCAACTGGGCAGTTTTACCTTTTGTTTACTGCCTTGGATGGAGCCCATTTCTATCCCAGTTTGGGATTAAGTATTTTCTGGCTGCCTTCTGCCCTTGGAACATCCAGGGACAGGTGACCTGTGGACACTCTGCTCACTCCTCTTTCTACCGGGAACTTTGGGCTAAGGCCAACTATTGTGAGTGCTAAAGTGCTTGGGGATTGGCAAATTCAACATAAACACTACATGACATCATACTCCCGTGAGATTGCCTACATCCAGACTCCCAGAGGGGGAGCTTGCCCCCTGCCAAGTATCCCTTTTCTTCACTGCTCTGGTGCCTGCCTCATTTATGTGGCTGATAGTTGAATATTTTGTACTTTGAAAATATATGAAACTCATTAGGCAATGGAGTAGGATTTTAGTGCTCCGATCTCTCATTTTATGGACAAAGAGACCAGGTTCAGACAGGATTGACTTGCCCAAAGTCACATGGCTGCAGTTTGAACCCAGGTCTTCTGGTTCTTAGTCCATAGCTCTTCACATTTTTATCATGCAATAAAAGGTAGCTCATCACAGAAATGTAAGGAGAAAGAATGGCGACTTCTCTTCTTTCCCACAGTTCTTACCGGTTTTGTATCGCTTGCTCCCAGTTAGACAGGATATAGTCGACTTTGTCTCTTCATGGAAGGGTACCCATGGCTCACCTCCATGCTAAAACCAACTCAATCCCCGGAATCATTTCTGTTTACAATCTATTTCCTGGATTAAAAAAATTAGTGAACAAATCTCTTCTTTCTGCAGCTAGGAATATACACTTAGGACAACAATCTGGAGAAATTTGACTTAAATTTAAACCAGATTATAAAACACTGGGGACAGGCATTAGTGGAGGTGGGTTGAGATTGTCATAGCAGCTTGGTGATGAGTGTGTAGCATACTCTATTCTAATTTTATAACAACGCTGGGCATTGTTCTATTTTACTGCACAGGAAACTGGATCCCAAAGAAGTTAAGTAATTAACCCAGGTCCCTAGGGTTAATTATGTTAATTAAGTGTCAGTGCTGGATTTCAAATCTTGGTTTAACTGGCTCAGATGGCTGTGCTGTTTCTGCTACCCAGCGGTTCTCTAACTTGATATAAAATTTTTCTGAGAAGATTATTTAAAAAGTAGTTTCCACCTAATCCAGGGATTCTGACTCAGCAGGGCTGAGGCAGGGTGGGGAATCAAATTTTGAAAAATGCCCTCAGTGATTTTGACATAAAGTGTTGGGAATCCCTGCAGGAAAAAAACAGAGAGGTTGGGGGGCAGGGAGTACAGATGGCAGCTTCCCTTCTTTGACAGCTTGAGGCTAGGCCAGCCACTCTCCAAGGCCTCACAGCCTCCGTAGGCCTGGCCGGATGTCCTCTGACTGCAAAGGGCGGGAGGCCTCGGCAAGCTGTGCTGGAGGAACTCGAACTAACACAAGGCTTCCCAGCATGGAAATCTCAAGTTCACCCAGAAGTTTCGAAGTTAGGGATGTAGTTCCTTCTCTGTTGTTTTCCTTACGAAATAAAGACCCATTTCCAACCATACTCTAAGCCCAGAGGTGGGCTCTTCCTTGTTTCTATTCTTAGTGTTGGCACAAGTAGCAGCCCAGGAAAAGTGCCCAGTGTTCACTGAATCATGAATGGTGGAGGGCGTGCTGGGGCATTCAGTCCCGGTGAGTTAGGTTGGAGGGCTTCCCTTTCTAAGTGTCTACTGTTTGAGGGTTACACTGTGTATGGGAGGCTACCCTCTGCCATTTTGCTCTAAGGAACACATAGCTGAGGGTCCCAAAGTAGTCAGTTTTCTAAGATGCATAAAGATGAGTGTGCGTGATAGTTTTTTTTCTCCCTGTATTTTACAAATTGAATCTCATTCATTTGTGGGAAGATACCATAGAGATTAAATTTCTAATCTAGCCAACCTGTAATTATGTCTTTTCTTTAGCCAATCACTGATATTTTAAGTATCATAACTCACCTTCTAATATTTCTCCCAGATAATTAGTATGAGATGAACAATCAGGAGATTTCAAGAGCCTGAAGCCTAATCAAAGAATCTAGTCTTTCAGTTCCTCGATATAGTCACATGCCCCAGGGCTCAAATTTCCCATGCCTACAAACTTCAGAAGCTCAAGTAAAGACCTCTGATGATTTTCCATAATGTGATTCCAATGTGTTATAGAATTCCCTGCTCAGCTCCCACCTCCAAATGTACACTACATTTAAAGTAAGCCAACATGCACAGAGACACAAGGTAACTCACCATCCTGACACTCAAAACTTTATAATTTACCTGAGTTTCCTCCTCCTCAGAAAACTGAAAATGGTCCAGGCACAAATTAATGAAACAGGTGGATGAGAGATGTGAGGCGGCCAATGGTGGCTATGGTGACCTGGCGGGGGGCATGCGCTCCCCAAAGGAGTCAGCTTCCATTCAAACACATCCAGTTTGTGCCAGATGATAACATAGGCAAAGGGCTGGCAAATGTTCTCATTCTTCAGGAGAAGCTGCAAATATGAATGAGATCTCCAGATTTAAAAGATGTTGCTGTTATAGATTGAATGTTTATGTACGCCCTAAAATTCTTATGTTGATGTCCTAACCCTTCTACCGTGTGATGATATTTGGAGATGGGATCTTTGGGAGGTAATGATGGTTACATTAAATCATGAGGATGGGGCCGTCATGGTGGGATTAGTGGCCTTATAAAAGGAAGAGAGAGAGAGAGATCTTTTGAGCTTGCCTCTCATGCAGTCACTGAGGAAAGGCCATGTGGGGGCATGGTGAGAAGTTGGCTGACTGCATCCCAGGAGTTAGCCCTCACCAGGACCTGAATTTGCTGACACCTTGGTCTTGGACTTTTCAGCCTTAAGAACTGTGAGAAAACACATTTCTGCTGTTTAAGCCACCTGGTCTATTGTATTTTATTAGAGCAGCTCAAGAAGACTAACACTGCTGGTCATGAGTGCTGGACAACAAATTATATCCTTAGATCCGACGATTGCTGACCGTTCGCCTGCTTTGTTGTAAAATGGGCATTAAAAAATGAAATTAGGGATGGACAAGTGGGTACAAAAAGGAGAAAATATTAACACAATTTTGAGGTATCAGCAGGTAGGTAGGGTTGGTTGGATGTTTTCTAAACAGCTGTGCTCGAAGTAATATTTTAGCAAGATGGGACTCCAAGAAGGCTCAATTTACCACTTCTTTCTTTCTTTCCTCCCTCCCTCTTCCCCACTCTCACATTCCTTTCTTCCTCGTCCTACAAATACTTACGGAATACCCCCTCCATAGGCCTCCCCTACCAACTGCACTAGGCTAAGAATACAAAGGAGCAAATAACTTTGTCTTTCAGAGCTTTAGGTTTGCTAGAGCTCTGATTTGTCTAAGTGGAGCTGTAAAGGGAGGGCAAGGTTTCCGGGCCATCATTTCTGCACCCATGACCCCTGGGAGTTGACATAGCACTGGTGGCTGCTCTGATTCAGAGTCAAGTGAGAGGAGGCGCTTGAATGCTGCTGTCCTGTATCAACATCACCCACCTAATTTAGATCAGAACTGATTCTTTGGTTTTGGGCAGCGTGGCAGAGGGGAGAAGATTCAGAGAGGCCACATTTCTGAGTCCCTTTCCTTGGGGCAGGTTGGATTGTGATTGCCATGCAGTGAAAACATCCATAACCCTGAGTGGTCACGGGTTTGAGCATGTTTAGACACTGCCTGTATAACTTGGCTGCTGGTGGCTGGTGGTGACCAGGACAAAGAGGGAAGAGACTCTTATTTTAGAGAAATGTAGTGTTTATAATAAAAGAGGCCGGGCGCGGTGGCTCACGCCTGTAATCCCAGCACTTTGGGAGGCCGAGGCGGGTGGATCACGAGGTCAAGAGATCGAGACCACCCTGGTCAACATGGTGAAACCCCGTCTCGACTAAAAATACAAAAAATTAGCTGGGCATGGTGGCGCGTGCCTGTAATCCCAGCTACTCAGGAGGCTGAGGCAGGAGAATTGCCTGAACCCAGGAGGCAGAGGTTGCGGTGAGCCGAGATCACGCCATTGCACTCCAGCCTGGGTAACAAGAGCGAAACTCTGTCTCAAAAAAAAAAAAAAAAAAAAAAAAAAAAAATTCAGGCAAGTAAATCATTGATTTACTCATTCACCTATCATTGCAGAGGGTGTTGGGTTGGGAGCTTAGGGTATTGGTGATTAAGCTGCAGGTCTTGCTTGGTCTGGCAATTGAAAACCTGATTTTTCCAAACACCATATCTGCATATCTTGGCATCATGAAGACAAGGACTCGTGGCTGCATAGGTCTCGGGGGCAGAGCAGAGGGCTCCTGGCATTTAATCTCAGTTAAAAATACTTTTCAAAATCATTTTACCATCAAGTCAGAGCTATAAATATATTAATTTAAATGAGAGGAAAAAAATCAGAGATGTAACTGTTAAAATCTAGAGTATTTTAGTTGAAAGACTCGGACATGAAAAGTAAATTTTCAACTTGAGAACACTTTGTCTCAAGGGAAGTTAAAAAAAAAAAAACCTTAAAAATAACAAAAGCTTCAAAGCAAGTGTCTTTATCACTGGCAAAGCAGGTGGTCCCACATTTATTGTATGTAGGTCTCAACGAAGCTTAAACTTAAAATGCTTAGGCAGCTCCTTCCCAATCCAGAGTCAGTAGCAAGTATCATAACTCGCCTTCTAAGAGACATTATTTTGGGATAGGAAAAATTCTATTTACTCGACTCTAGGTACTCCGAAGCAGGGCATGGATTCTGCTTTCATCTTCCAATGCAAGTGTATTTCCACAGGGCTGAGATCTGGCATGCACAATATCAGCCTGAAACGATTGCTTTCTGGAAATTTGCAGTGAGCAGAAACAGTCGTGTAGAGCTGTGGATCTTGCTACCTGGATCAATAACTTCTTCTAGTTAAGATTCCTGCCAAGGAAAAGCAAGGAATATCAAATTTCATAGACCTAACGAACCATGGGAAACTGCTTGCACCCATGTGTGCAAGGATCACTTTTTATGATTTATACAAACCAAAGCATTCATTGGAATAAGAATAATAGCTAATATTTATTTATCATTTATTATCCTGGCCACTGTGCCAAGTACTTTATATACGGTGAGTTCTGTAATCTCTGCAACAACCCATGGGTAGGTCCTATTATTTTTTCTTCTTTATAGATAAGAACATTGAGGCACAAAAATGGTAAATTACAGAGTGGGATCAATGTGTCGCTCGCTTAGAAAATGAGTCAAGTCCCATATGTGTGAATGAATGTGAACATTCCCATTTCCTTGTCATTTGGTTTTCTTTCTCAAGTTTGGTGTGTTTGCTCTGTGCTCACAGGATATTGCTAACTTCTTAGTCCTTTGAAGAAAAATCAAATTTCTTCTTGAGGAAAGACTTTTGAAACCCACAATATGAATTCAAGAAGCAAAAAGAAAATCAGATTTCACAAACAGGATACCAGTAGCTTGGAAGAATCCATTGCTTTTGCAGGGTTTGTTGTTGAGGGAACCCTGTCTTTCCCAGTGCCCTTGACATTTCTTCCTCAAATAAAAAGTAACAAAATGCAACCAACTGACTCATTTTCTAAGCGAGTGACATATTTACCCTACTCTTTAAGTCAAAATTCTTAGCAATTCTCCAATCCTTAGTTCACATGAAATGTAATATTTTTTTCTTAAAATGTTTGGCCAAGTTGGGCAAAGTAGGCATGGTAGTGTGCATCTGTAGCCGAGTTCCAAGGGTCACTTGAGGTCAGAAGGTCGAGATTAGCCTGGGCAATATAGCAAGACTCTGTCTCTAAATAAATAAATAAATAAAAAGTAAAATGTTTGATCTTCTGCAACCTGACCGTTCCACTTCTCATTCCCAGCCATGCTCTGGGACCACCTCCCTCCTGTGCTAAGGAAGGCTGGACTATTCTTTCAACATAGTGCTCAATCCATCCTGCATTGGTGCCTTTGCTATGACAGTTTTCCCTGGTCTCTTCCTCCTCCGAGTCTAGCTCAAGGGCCGCTTCTGAACAGCTGCAGAACTGAGCTCCTCATCTGTACACTTCACTGCTGAACCAGCCCGGGCCACAGGTGTTGCAGTCAGGTTGTTTTCAGAACTTCACCCTGCAGGAAGAAAGTCTGTGAAGTTTCTGGCCCTAGCATGGAGCTACAGAATCTTGGTGAATCAAACAACTTCTCCAAGCCTCAAACAAGACTTAAAAAAATTGTAAAGCACTAATGAAAGGAGAGGAGAGCATCGAGGATTGCATCCTCCACTTACTAGTAGCTGTCTTATTTAGTTGTGACTGCTCATTTAGTTGTGTCTTATTTAGTTGTGATAGCCTTCATCCCTGGAAACATGCTTGAAAGACATGTCTCTTTACATGCTTGGGCCTTACAGAATGTGCCGGAAGCCAGGGTTAAACAATGTCAGCTGGATGAACAGATTTCAGTGGTGATGGCTGTTGGAAACTACCACTGTGTTACATTCCACTTTAAACTCCTCACCTTGAAGTGAAGCTAAGTCAGGCCAGAGAATTGAATGGATTTGCCCCTGGCCACAGCAGAGTAAGCGGAGGGAGAATGTGGTATGTGTTACAGGCTGTCAGTATTTGCCAGACCATGATCTTTAAAAAAAAAAAAAAATTAAAAAAAAAAATATATATATATATTCATACATACACACACACACACACACATTGCACAAAGAATTTGGTATTATAAAAAGAATCTTTTAAGTACCACAGTCTTTTATCCAGAACATTATTAAGAACTTTTTATTAAAAATTAAGATGCCTCAGAAACCATATAAAACTTTAACAGCCTCTACCTTTCCACTTCATCTTTTCCAGGGCACCTCAGAAGAGGTGGTAGAATTCTCCAACAGTTGGAGAGCTCTGTGAGGAACATTCTACTTTGCCAATTTATCCCTGTATTGGCCCAGGGCAGCCATTTACAACCTCGTTTTTGGTTATTTCAGCTGCTGCTAGGTGTTCTCCTGCAAACACACCTGCATTGCTGTGAGGACACTAGCCCACAGGCAGAACGTGATGTGTTTCTCAGAGCTGTGGACTGCGGGCTGTGGGCTCCCACAGCTCCGTGTGCGTGAGCTCGTCAGCACCCACTGAGCCCTTCTGAAGTTCTCTGGTTTCCTCTGACTTCTCTTCTGGACTGGGAACTTAGGTACTGGACCAGCCTCATGTTTATTCATCAGTGCAGGTCCCTTTGTTCAACTCAAATGAGCACCACATGGGGTTCCTTCTTTCTGTGGACCTCAATCCCTTCTGTGCTTGCCTTTTAAATATCTGCCTACATGGGGAGAGTCTTCTACAGTTTTTTTCCTGAATGTGCCTCTTTTTATATTCAAGAGACTCTTTGCCGTCCTAGGGTGCTGTCATTTGACAAATACATCCTCATCCCACATTGCCCCCAACCCCATCCCGAGTCTCTCACCTGGATCCTGGCCTTTTGTTCACCTGCTGTCTGTCAGAGTGGAGAGTGCTCCCCGTTCAGTCTCCTATTCACCACAGTCCCCCAAATTCCCTTCTCTTGGGTGGTCTCTTTTATCTCTTTCATATTTCTCTAATTCTAATAGCAAGACTTCAGGCCCAGCTTGAGAAAGCATGCGTTTTCCTCCTTCAGGTTCATACAGTCCATCAGGCTTCCTTACCATCAGCTCTTGTTGGTTGAAAGACCTGAAAACTCTCAAATGGCCATTTCCTGAGGTTCTCTTTTTCATTCATGGAGAAGCAGCTGAAGCCCCGCACCAGGAATTTTCTGGATTGCTGCGATTATTCTTTTATTCAATAAACATTTGCTAAGTCCCTTCCATATAAAAGACAGTATCCCAGGGGCTAGGGATACAAGAATATAACCAAAGTCCTGCCTAGAAGGGGCTTGCAGGCTGGTGTGGGGGATACAGTAGCACATACTGCCTTTTATTGGATACCAGTGCAGTAGGTTGGAGTGGGAGCAGGATGTATGAGATGCCCCACCGCATGTTAGAGGATGGACCACCTCATTCAGCAAGGGAAGGGGTGTTAGGGAAAGCTGTCACCAAAAAGCCCTAGTTGAACTGAGCTGTGGCGCACGATGAGTCATTCGCTAGGCAAAGCCAGCCAGGGCATTCCTGGTGGAGGCAGCCACACAGGCAAAGGCTCAAAAGTGTGCAAGGGGGTTGACTGTGTTCATTCTTTTTATGAATGTTGTCAGAGCTTCAATAATCTTGCTCCTGTGCATTTCTTCTCTGCCCTGCAGGCAGAATGTGCTGTGAGTGGGTTATCAGGAGAGGTCAAAGACCTCGTGGCTGGTGTGAGGGGCTGCAGGGCTGGGCCAGGGAAAGGGGAGGGAAGGGTGAGTCACTTCAAAGTTTTGTGTGCTGAGACATGGCTCTTAAAGGAGTCCTGGGGTTTTTGCAGAGAAGAAAGTGCTTAAAGGCAGATTATGCAGCCAACAGTGAGCCAGTAAATGGTTTCACTGGGGCCTATATTGGGCCATTTTGGCAGCCTTCTTTATTGGGTTTGGGGCTCTCTGGCTATCAGATACCTTTCTGTTCTCTCCTTGCAAATGCCCATGAGGGGTTTAGGGCAAAAATGTGGAGCTTTTTAGCATCTTAATGTGATTTCAATTGCATTTTAATTTTTAATAAAATGTTGAATAAAGTTCTGCTCAAAGAGCCCCAGGGATGAAAAGATTCTATTTAACAGGGAGCCCAATGTTTTCGTACAGGGAAATAGATGGTTTAACAAGACCCTGGTACATCTCTTTCAAGTAAGTGCAATAAATGGTTCTGTTGGAATGGGAATAAAGGGAAGTGCATGCATACATGCATATATCTTATTTTTCTGTATAGCCAGTAATTCCACTCTTTGGAAGTAAACGCCGAGCTTCTGGCATCTTTGACTAATACCCTTCTCATATGATAGTTACACTGCTCCAAAGACAGTATGGACATGTGAGCCAAACATTTTTCTGTTTCGTTTGCAAGAAATGGAACTGACAGATATACCTGTCTATTTTGTTTCCAAGAAAATGTCTTGTTAGAAATGTGTGAAAATATATTATATGACAGTTGCTGAAAATGTTTCAGATGCAGCAATAAACTGATTGTGGGTTTTGGACCAGATGTACACCATGTTTAGAATTTATTGTACTTCTCTGTATTCTAGCCCAGTGCTTAAGTAAATAGAGAGAAGTGCTTCACTTTTCAGTGAGATTTTTATGTGGATGAATGGCATTTTCCTTCATTTAGTGATGTGAAATTATTGGAATCATGCAAATTGTAAATAACCACTCACCTCACACCCATTGTGTGGCTGAGAAGACTCAAATGAAGGGCCTGTTGCTTTTGTCCTGACTCCTGAGGTTAAGGAGAAGATTTAGCCTGCAAACGTCTATTGCTTAACTGTGCCACATTTTCTGACTCAGAAACTAAAGAAATGCACTTAATGTCTGATTGTAGTATTTTAAATCCCTGCCTTTTGATCTGACGCATTGTAGAACCCAGTCAGAACTCGGTTAGTTTAAAAGGCAGGAGACTTTTTCATGCATACCCCTATGGGACTCCAGGCAGCCTTTGCCAAAGGTGTTAGGCATTTGTTTTTCTACACGTGCTCAGTAAAATAGGCTCCTAAGCGGAGAAATGATCTGTGTGTTGTGACCGATCTGCTTTTTTATGCTATCTCATGTTCATTTCATATCTAGAGGCACATTGATCCGGAATGGTTAAAGATTTGTCTCATTTCCTTGCCAAGGAGGATTATGTTTCCAGCTTTTTGTTAATTCTCAGCATTTCAACCATTGCTGCTGATAACATCCTGCATTACTGTGCTAGGTATTCCTTGGACCCAAGGAGTGGAGTAAGACATGGCCCTGCCCTCAGGGAAGCAGTAAGCTAGTTCATGAAGGGCATGAAGTCCAGGTGCTTCACACAGGAGACCTCATTTAATGCTCTCAGAAATGTTAGATTTTGCAAGGGGTGAGGGTGTTAATTTCTTTATTTAAAAAAGATGAATCTGGGCTTCTTGTAGCTCACAGAAGAGGATTCAGAACTAATAGTTGCTTGACTACAGAGCTCATGCCCTCCCTCCAGCTCACTGCTTGGGTGGTTTGATAGTCAGGACATAACAATGAACATAAGGTAGAAACATGTGGAATAAAGGCTAACATAGGCACCAGGACATTACAAATACCTTGTGGGTTAGAGAGGGGTTACTGCATACATGGAGTCAATAAAGGAATGCTTTGTGAAGAAGCCCTGAAGTGTGTTTCGAAGCCTGAAGATGTGGACAGAAATCACAGGCATGAAGACACCATGGAGGATGAGCTTGCAGCCTTAACGAGCTACACCAGGTTGCCAGGGGGCAAACCTGGAGAGTCGGGGAGAGGGGGGTAACAAAGAAGGGGAAGGTGGAGGGCAGGCTATTTAGAGCTCCATGAGAAACTGTGTGTATGTGTGTGTGTGTGTGTGTGTGTGTGTGTGTGTGTCTCACACGTGTGTCAGAGGAGGGTTTACAATGTGGAGGAAACATGCCATTTAACTAAAAATCAAAATGTCTGGGGAATATACAATGCTGACATTTCCCACTGTAGCCAGAAAAAACGTGGTGTTTTAATGATGAGGAGAGCGCCATGTTTCCCTTCCTATCAGGGAACGAAATAAGTCAACCTCTTTGCTGAGTTGAAAGTGGCTGAGTTGTTGGCAAAGTAAGCAAATTCCCTTTGAGTCTCCGTGATAAAAGGAGGCAACAGGGCACAGGAGACGGGGCAGGTGGAGGAGGACCAGCGGGCAGGCCACCTCAGCCCTGCTGTTTGTCTGATTATCTGAAAGTGCTTGGAAACTAGAAGGCAGATGAAAACATATTTTTTTAAAAAAAGAAAATCCAGAGGAAAAACCTGGGGAGCCCAGGGAGCACGCAGGGCGGCTCTAAACTGGAATTTGGGATGGGGTTATCTTTCCTCCCAGAGTACAGCTTTTAAAACATTTCCAACAAATATTTATTTATGGTCAGGGATGGCAGCATAAAATGAGAAGGGATGAAATATAGTTTCCTTGCTTTTTTCCTTTTTGCTTATAAGGAGATACCTATCAACATTTAATACAATTTTAAAAACACTTTTTTTTTTTTTGAGACAGAATCTCACTTTGTCATCCAGACCGGAGTGCAGTGGCGCGATCTCAGCTCACTGCAGCCTCCACCTTCTGGGTTCAAGCAATTCTCCTGCCTCAGCCTACCGAGTAGCTGGGATTACAGGCATGTGCCACCACGCCCAGCTAATGTTTGTATTTTTAGTAGAGATGGGGTTTCACCAAGAAATTAACAATATGTGATTTTATGACTTTAAGGCAGAAAAGGAAAACCTCTAAGATGGAGTGAGCGACTTAGGAATCCCTAAGTAGTCATCACAGATGCCTGTCTATTGATTTGAACCCTGTTTCAAATATGGAATTTTAATTTAAGAGGAAGGTGCACACCAAATTCAAGCATGATTTTTCTGGTGGTTTGAAAGGAAGTAATGGTGTTTTAAAAAATGTGTGAACAGTTGATATGAAAGTGATCAGTGTGTACACAATCATTTATGTGGAGGCAATGCACTGGATGCTGGAGCTACAAAGAAGAAGGCTAGGGGCTTTCAATCTATTGAGGGAGGCAGAGCAAAGAGTAATACAAAGTGATTAGTGCTGTAATATGCAACGAGAGGTGGGATTCTTAAAAAAGAATGATTTACAAAGACTGGAAAAATCAGGGAAGGCATTATGGGGAACGTGACATTTGAGTGGGTTTTGCAATGTGGATAACGGTTCAGATGGAGGAGAGAGAAGTGGAATAAAGAAGAATGACAAGGGGCATTGCAAGTGGAAAGACATACAAGGAAAAACTCAAGCATGTTAATGTGTACCCTCTTTTTCGGGAACATACCACAGGCCCCCTTTTTTGGGGAGGCCCTCACAGTTCAGGACCCTCACTAGTTTCAGGGAAACTAGTATTTCCCTAAACTAGATTGGGAAATGCCACTATCGCTTTGAAGAATCCCTGGGTTTTTTGCTTTTTGTTTTCTGTCTTTTATAGCAGAAGGGGGGTTTAATCTGGACTGAGTTGGAGGAAAGGAATAGGTGCCAGAGTAGAGGCCAGAAGGATGGTGGAACTGGCACTGGGCCGGAACACAGAAAATGGAATCTAATGCTAGTAAGTTGTTACAGAATGCAAGTTTGTGTTGTAACCCCTGTCTCTACTGGCCTGCAATGCAAGGTTCTTGCCTTAGTCATCTTTGCATCTCTGTGCCCAACATAGTAGGTGTATTAGTCTGTTTTCATGCTGCTGATAAAGACATACCTGAGGCTGGGAAATTTACAAAAGAAAGAGTTGTATTGGACTTACAGTTCCATGTGGCTGGGGAGGCCTCAAAATCATGGCGGAAGGTGAAAGGCACATCTCACATGGCAGCAGACAAGAGAAGAACTTGTACAGGGAAACTCCTCTTCTTAAAGCTGTCAGATCTCATGAGATTTATTCACTATCACAAGAACAGCACAGGAAAGGTCTGCCCTGTAACTCAGTTACCTCCCACTGGGTCTCTCCCACAACACGTGGAAATTCAAGATGAGATTTGGGTGGGGACACAGTCGAACCATATCAGTAGATTCTTAATAAATCTCTGTTGAATGAATCAAGGGAAGAATGAGCTATTGTAGTTGTGGTTAAGAGATTCTGATGTAGGTATAAGCCTCTGTGGCAATATTGGAAATTGTAAGAATTTTGGGAGCTAGAAAATAAGGAAAAGTAAATATCTCAATCAGGTTTAGACACAGCTCTCACTTTTGATATTGACTCTGATAAAGCAGTATGATTAATTTCTTTGTTAAAGTAGTATTTCATGAGGATTTATTTTCTATAAATCACTGATAAGTTCTTTTGTCCATGTTGAAATATTAGTCTTATTTTTATGAGATAGTAAAATATATAAGGAAAAGTACTATTTAATATATTTAAAAAGATGGAGAAGTGAATTAGAGAAGATAAATCATGAGCCTTTTGGTGTGGACTGACTGTTATTTTAGCAAGTAAAGGAAACATTTTCTTAATGCTTATTTTTTAATGCTTATTATTTTGTCCCACAAAAGATGTGAGACAAAAAAAAAAAGAAGACAAATCTCCATTTATAATTTACTTTGCTCCAAGAATTCACATTGCAAGATTTACTTTAAAGGCACAACTTAAAGAAAACTAGATGAATGTTTCAGCATGCATTATCACCATTATCACGTTAAAAATGGCAGAAGAAAACTGCCATAAACTCTACTTTTGAAAGATGGAGGTACCCCCATTTCAGCTTGGCCAACATCATCTAGACAAAATGGACAGTGAAAGTAAAACCCATGGCCAAAACCAAGCTCTGTGAGGCTGAAGGGTCCCAAATCAGTGTGTTGGACAATGTTTTGAAATACCAGCTGAGGGTTTTTCTGATATTTACTGGGGTCCCTTGATTCTTCTTCCATTCAGTAAACTAGGTCAGTCTGGCTTCACTGGAAGTGTCACAGAGCAAATATAGAAAAAGAAGTCAAATATTGCCTTTTGAGTTCCAAAAGCCTACCTCCCTCTGGAAAGTGAAGAACCTGGGACAGATGGGCTAAAATACCTAAGCTGTGAGGGCCAGTAGTCCACCCCAAATGGGGCAAAGATTCCTAGGGGTCAAGAAGCATCAGGGAGTTGTGGGAATGTATCTCTGGAAGTGTCTCTGTGGATCGTCTCTGAGAAAGAGGATTGATGCGCAGTCCCTACCCAGACTGAATCCTGGGAAGGTACAATTCCAGAATCATGGGAGCTGTGTTTACCCAGGGACTGGTCCTCACTTTCTGGGTAGTGCTCAAAGGAGACATGGTTGTATGGTGAGGAAGGGCCTTCAGGAGCCCCGGTTTCCATGGGAAGAATCATGGGAAGAATGGTTCTCTGAGCCAAGTAGATGGGTTTTTGAATGGCCCCACAGTTTCTCACACCCCAGCATGGTGTGGAGCAGTGAGTGAGTTACTGTATACCAGAGAGGAGTTCAAGGAGAAAGAAGAGCAGAGGCAAAGGTGGGAACATGGGCTGGGCAGCAGTGAACTTATTGCATGGTAGCCAGGACCAGGCGGGCCCCAGGGCATCAATGCAGATGCCACTGTGCTCGGCTCAAGATGACTGAGGACCCATTGTTCACCACCCCATCCCTGCCTGATCGGCCCTGCTCAAGCCCTAGAATCCCGATGTGACTTAGATTAGGCTTCTGCTCCCTTGTCGCAGGCATGGCCTTTCAAAATAGAAATTCAGCTGTGCTATGGAAAAATAAAGTCGCATTTCTTGCACACATGAATGTGGGAACTGAGATTCAAGCCTGCTCTTTATATAGTAAAGAAAAGTTCCATTTGATGAAATCTGGTTAAGAATGGGCACTTCTCTGTCCTGCAAAGATCAGTATGCCCTTAACCTCAGGCAAAGACAAAGACAGGTTTGTTGAAAAAATATGCAAAAAATCTCTCAGAAACCAAGCAGAAGAGTATAGCGAGGTCTGAGTGGATTCTTGGAAAGTTACAAGTGAACTTCCTTCTCTGCCATAAGGGGCTACGTGAACCCTTTTATTTCTCCCTGTGTGCCTTGCCTCTGTCCCTCTTCATTCCTAGAGTCTTCTGCCATCCCAGCCTATGCAGAGACTGTGATGACCTTGCCCCAGGCCTCACACCTGCTCAGTTCTAGCAGTGGCCCCACAGATAGAGGAGGCCCTTTTGTGTCTCTCAGGTCAGTGTCCACATAGTAAGAATCTGATTGGGCCCCTGTGGTTAAATGTTTTCTTCTGGTCCAATCACTGGCTGGAGTGTTTTGGTGCTGAGTCACAAACCACATTCAGAGCTATCAGGATGGGGCTGCCATGTTGCACAGCTGCAGGGTGTGGCTGCCAAACAGTACTCTGTGAGCAGCTCCCCAGGATGTGTGTGGTGAGAGGCAGTGGTCCCGGCTAAAAGCCCAGCTCTCCTGCTTAGCAAATGTAACAGAGTGGTGGAACATAGTGTTGTTGCTGTTTGAATTGAGTGAACATCTTCCTAACACATGTTGAGTGGCCATGTGAATGCATGGAGCGAGACTAGGAGAGCTGACCTTGGCATATTGAATGTTCATGGCGAGCAGCAGATGAGGGTGCCTAGTCAGGTGTTCCCTGTTTAGCACTGTGGTTTAGAGAGCAAGCTTTGATGTTCAGCACACCTGTGTTCACATCACAACTGTTTATGAAAATGTGGCATTGGTCAAGTTACTTGATTTCTCTTTCTCAGTGTCTTTATCAATAGGGTGGGGATGAAAATTTCTATAGAAATTCTCATAAGGATTAAAGGGGTCAATGCATTTTAAAAAACTTATGCCCGTGTCTAATGCTTTAAATACTTTTAAAGAACTTAGGCCATTGCCCAATAAGGGTCAGATGTGACTTATGTCATTATTATCACGAATAATTCTATAATTACTGAATCGTTTAATTAATTTTAATTATATTATTTGTGAATAATTCGCTAATTCACTGATGGAATTATTCACTAATAGAATTATTAGTGATATATTACTGAATTATTAGTGAAAATTATTAGTGACTTAGTGATTATTCATGAATTATTACTAATACTTTAGTGAATGTCAGTGAATTACAATATAATTAATAATACTATTATTAGTGATAATAAACCATATATATTTTACAGTCTTAAAATGTTAATAACCCATTATATTGAAAGCATTTATATATCTGCCTTCCAGATAATATATTTTTGGTTAAGGTCTTTGTAATTAAAACTAAAATCAGAATCACAATATTATGTCAACATTGATACAAGTAATAACAACAACAATGATGATGATAATTAAAAACCTGGATACAATTTTGTCTTAGGCTTACTGTGGTTCAGACATGCATGTATTTACCATATTTGATTTTGATTTTATTTTTAAAATGTTGTCTTTACTTTTTATCTTAGCATCTTGACCCTTTTGTGACATCTAGCAGGATGTATTTTTTTCAAGATACATGTTTCACAAACAAAATATATGTTTATATCTGACTGTACCCAAGCTGCTAATTACGGGCATCTCTTTCTATAGCTCACTATTAATCACTCATGTCTTTGGGGTTATATAGAAAACAATTTATGTTACCAAATCAAATCCTCCCTTAAAAATGTTTGCCCTGGAAGTGAGGCGGGAGGAAATCACAAACTGTTATTATTTTCCCTTAGATGGATCTAAATATTAACATTCCCTTAGCTTTAAAGATTATTTTTATGCCGCTCCTTTATAAACAATTGCAGTTCACTAACTCTTCTGTTGTCTCGAGTTCTGTCTACAGCATACCCAAACAACTCAGCTAAAAAAATGGGCGATCAGTTCAACAGGTTATCTGGCATTATATGTAGACAATAAAAATGCTTGAATAGCTTTAAACATTTTAAAGTGAATGGCATATAGTAAATTAAATTGAAAGTTTAAACACAGGCTAAGGATCCCTCACATAGAGGAGGGAGTTGCCATTTCTAGATCTCATTGCAACTGTATTAACTACCCAACTACCAGGGCAACAATAGCAGCCACAGTGTAGTCATAGTAGTAGTTTTAGCAGGAGGAGGAGGGAGAATAAGCTATTAATAGTATGAACAACAGTAGTAGTTGTAACAGTAATAGTTAACACTGCGCGTACACATTGTTTTAGGTACTTCACGTACAGTAACTCGTTTAATCGTTACAGCAACCTTAAGAGATAGTACTATTAATTCCCTATTTTACAAAGAGGGAGACTAAGATTCAAAGAGGTAAAGTCACTAGTGGCAGAACCAAGACTTGGAGAACAATAATAAAGGCTGACATAGATCAAATACTCATGCTTCTCAACTACTGATAAAGTTATCCCATTCAACCCTCACAGTGAGCCCAGGAGGTGGATTTCTTATTATCCCCACTTAACACAGGAGAAAATGAAGCTCGAATGTCTAGCTGATGAAATGGCAGACAGGGTCTGAAACCAGGGATCCAAAGCCAGAGGTCCAGTCTTGCTTTGAGTTTGGTGATATCTTCTGCTTGGACTGGTTTGTTGAGGGAGGAGAAGTCCTCTAGGCAGAAGCTGTTGCCTTGAGGCGGAATCTGGGGACCCACTTCTCCCTGAGGAGTGCGCTCCGACT